GCAAAGATAAGAAACACAGCTATCTGAATGCTCTAAAGGCAAGTTCAAGGGTGTGAGACAAACCTTGAAAAGATGTAACAGCCACAGCCTTTCTGAGGTCGTGCTACACCCCATTTATTTACCTTCAAAAAGAATATAAGGGAGCAAATCGTTTATTTCAGTTCGATAGCCAAAATTTTGTAGTTTCCGCGAAAGTTATTCAGAGCTGAATTCGTCGTCTTTCGTATGAGCAGTACTTGCTGGAAGCGCAAACACCTATGATGCACCTATGCTTTTAGGGCTCTGACATCAACTTCAATAACGGTCCCCCTCCCCCTCCCCCCACCTCCCTTAATCCCCAATACAACCCCTCCATCCTACCTCAGGTGTGGCGTGCCATACCCCCGCTTGACCCTGGTAATGAGCCTTGCGAGATTTTCTCGCTTTTTTTTGAAGAATTCAAAAGAGTTTGTCTTAATGGTGATTAGTCACCGATGTTGTGCCGCAGCATAAATCAGGCAACTGGCTAGCTTTGACGATTTTGACCATCGCTATCCGTGATCATGCAGAATCCATCAGAAAATCTTATATATATAGCTGAATGTCTGTTTGTATGTATGTATGTATGTCTGTCTGTCTCTGTCTGTCTGTCTGTCTGTCTGTATGTATGTATCGTCGACTCTAAAAATCGTGACGACGGTCTGCAGTGCGGCCAGTGCGCGCCGCACGGCACTGCCACCTAGTGATTCTCCCAAATTACGTGGAGAAGGTGAGTTCTTGTGGTTTTTCTTTTTCTTTTTGCATCTTTTTTGCTTGCAGGAACTTTCATGGCTACCGCAGGGAGCCTACACTGCAGAGAAGCAAGATTGCCCTACGATAAAGCGGCAGTGCCGTGCGGCGCGCACTGGCCGCACTGCAGACCGTCGTCACGATTTTTAGAGTCGACGATATGTACGTATGTTCCAAATAGAAAATTCCATTTCTGAACCGACCCGGACGAAACTTGGCACACATACACTCCGGGCCTCGGCGGGAGTCATAGGCTACTTTTTGTCATCGATCGATATCGATTTTATCGATTTTTATCGATTCTTTTGCAGAGTTCACCTACGGGGCAGGGAGTTGGCACAGGGGGGTAAGTGAGCATGGGGATTCCGAATACAATATTAGTTTTCAAAATCGTCCATCAGTTTTATCGATTTTATCGATTTTTTTGCAAAGTTTGACTTACGGGGTTGGGAGTGGCACAGGGGGGTAATCGAGCGGCTGATTACGACAGTGTTAGTTTTGGGAATTATCTCCTACTTTTATCATCGATTTTTTTGCAAACTTTGAGGGATTGCACAGGGAAAGGAATGGGACCTTTATCATTTTGACAGGGCCGGGCGAAGCCGGGTATGTTAGCTAGTTCGCTTATAATTTCCTCTTTACGGATAGCAAACACAGGTCTAAAATCAGCGCCTTAAGACTAATATTCCCATATGGATCCTTCCCACCTTCGACTTTTTTCCTCCAAAGACCTGGTAGAACTAGTTGTAGGTTTTCTGCTCAGTTCATGTAACTACGGTGCCGAGAAAATGCGGTAAAACTTAGTGAACAAATAGCTATTAGCGCATGACGCCGGTTACTTGCGCGCACAAAATGCCGGCATTACTAACGTGGCTGTTTGTTTACGTGCAAATTTAGCAGAATTCTTTGGCACCGCAAGCACACCATAACAAGCGAGCAACTTACTCGACTATATCTAACTAATTTCAGATATTAATGCTAGCGATGATTATGGTCTTTATAACTTACTCTTTTCTAAGGGGATCAATAGAGGTAATTTGCATTGGCGTCTGATGAAAGAGTGAGAATAATTTTTCGTTTTAGGTTATACGTTTCTACAAAGTCCATACTGCTAAAAATTCGTGCGATTTGCTTTTTTCCGGAATCTTATGCTATCCATTGCTGACGCTGTCTCTAGCGTGCTCTGTGATCACCACAACCATTCACCTATCTATAGTAATAGAAAGAGCAATAGCTTCAAACTATCTATGCACATATGAAAATCACAAATCCGTGTGCGGATACGTACTCGCTGCTCTCTCGGTCTTTTTTTTTGAACGCTAATGAAAAGAAGTCATAGCACTTCGACGATTTTCAGATAGTTGCTGGTGTGAGTATAAGCACTTTCGCTATGAGCGGAACCGACCTTACCAAGGATACCCCATGTCGTAAGGACACAAGTGAGAAGGAAACATTTGCAGTACTAATAAGCAGGTATATAGTGTTACTTTTGGAAGCTACCATTATCATATCATTTTGTTGTGTGTATTGCGTGAACTCCAAAAAAAGGTAAGAGTTTTGACTCAATTCTATTTCCAAATAAATCGACAATACATATTCGTAATATCCGTTTTAGCAATAAGTTTGACATTCGTGCACAGTACCAGTCAAAGGAAAACTTAGCTGTTTTGCGTTTGCTGATGCCACAAATTATATTCCATAATGCTATATATCTGGTCCTGATACTACTCGAGATTACAACTCGCTTTGCTCGACGCTATTTTACCATTGATATTGCGATGGTAGCCAACATTATCGGAGCTTGTGTATGTCGATTACTTTTAGAGAAGGAAAATATTAAGTTTCCTGGAAGTCCACAATCTGTTTTTCAGGCGGTATCCATCTACAATATTTGCTCACCTTTGCTGCTATGGTGTATATTACAACGCCAGAAAACTAGAAGAACTAGAGCGATTGAGCTTTTGTCAAAGCAAGTGGCTCACCAGGACAACATCTATTTTTCTAATTATGCATGGAATAATTGACTATGATTACTCACATGTGGTGCGTGTCAATCATTTATGGTAGTTGATAATTAAGGTTTTATAGAAGTAGGTTCTAAGTAAGGAATAAGCAATTCGCTAACGCAGGGAGGAATTCAAATGCATCAGAGATGCTCCATGTAGATGTTACGTAAAAAAACTCTGAAGTCACGGGAAGTATTTGACAGATAAATAGATTAATAAATTGCTTGTCGAAGCCGTATATATAAGTGGATATAATTAGTAGTCTGCTCTCCCACCAAATTATGGGCAATTCTCGTCGCTCAGTCAAATTGATCATTTTATCTGCACATTTAGAATTTGAATTCTGATTTTCGTGTTTATAAATGAAAGCCCCATTTGTTATTTTTTGGAGACTCGTAAAGGTTTTAATATTTCTCCAGAACTAGCCGACTCTTGTTAGGGTACGAGATTGACGTAATATTCTTCTTAGACAGAGAAAGAATGAACTAATAAGGAAAGCTACCTAACTTTGCTCGGCCTTTTGGTAAAAGGCATATATACAATACCACCCGTAATTTGTGAAAAAAAATGGCGGCGGCACTTAACTTACGCGGCGCCGCCGAAGTTAGGTGACTTTTGCCGCGTCGCGCGACAAAAGTCGGCGGAAAAGCGGCAAAAGTCACCTAACTTTGTCGCGCAACGCCTAACTTTTTATAAAAAAAGACCTTATCTTGATTCAAAATTTATGAATTCTATATATAAGAGTACCATTCAACTCAGCTCGGCGAGGCGCATCTTCCAATATACGGATGTGCCTAGTTGTGGGATATAAGTTTCTTTCCTGGAATTTTAGTGTAAATGGACCATTCAGTGTGCTGATTCCAGAGGCTACGTACACATTCTATTGAGCACAGCAGAAATAGGGCAGGTATAGTTTAAGAGCTCATTCTGCATGGATATATGTGAAACTGGGCAGCTCATTCTGCATGGATATGTGTGAAAGTGGGCTTTTCTCGGCGAAGTATGACGGGTCCCAAAATGCAGGAAGACAAAGGGAAATGGTTGGAAATCGCATGAGAAGCACATATCGCGGAATGCCGCGCGTGCTGTGCAATGTACAATACCACTCACAGAACGGGAATTTCGCGAAATTCCAGAAATTTCGCGATTCCGGATTATCGCAAATTATGCAGCGCCATAACTTCCTTCGGAATTAATATATTCTAAATTCGAAAGCAGCACTGTGTTCATCTCGTCAAGGCGAATCTTTCGACATACGTCATGTCATCTATATCTTGTTTCCAGTTTTCTCAAATTGCTCTGAGGAGGTCCCTTTGCAAGTATGTAACGCAGCGCCTATCCAACTTGAAAGCTTCCAGTAAGCACCATTCGATAGTGCTCTTCTTGTACATTATAGTGCGCTAGTAAGCTGCCGCAGACTTCTTTTCAAAAGAGAAAAAAGCGTTGGTAAATTCTGGAAAAATCACTCGTTTCCAGATTCTACTCGCCGTAACTTTCTTTGGAGTGGATATTTTCTGAATCCGAAAAATGCATTGTGCTCAGCTCATCAAGGCAAATCTTTCGGTATGCAGAATGTCCTTGATATCTCGATTTCAGTATTCTCAAAACTTTCTGCGGACGTCTCTTCGCAAAGGTGTGAAGCAGCGCGTATTGCCCCCAGTATATTGAGAAAGAAATTTTCGATAGTACTTCTTTTGTAGATTATGGAGCGCTAGAAAGTAGCCGCACACTCCTTTTCAAAGGAGTTAGAAGGGCTGGTGAATTCTGGAAAAATCATGTCCTTCTAAATTTTTCTCAACGTAACTCTAAAATATGAAGCTCTCTTGCTAAGCAGATGTGATTTTCGTAACCAGCAGGTCGGATAACCCTTAAGTGCAAGTTTTCCAAGATGTTCAAGTAATTTCATTTTTTCTCGTTTTACGCTCTGAAGCTGGCCGATGGATTTTGGTCAAAATGTTCATGCTCTTGAATTGTAAGGAAACTTCGCTTATAGAGGTTTTCAAACACGCTCTTTACGAAAATCGTGGTCTTTGAGGATTACAGGGTCTTTTTGGTGAGATACGGTGAGGTGACTGTAACTGCATCACGAAAGCGCGTAAATTGGCCCGCACTTCTCGCGTATCTGTCAGCAACCTTGCCTGCTTGCTTTTCTCAGTCAAAGTTACTAGGAACTGCGCTACCGAATGGTGCATGAATCAGGCTCCAGTCTGTAAAAATCACCGAGTTACGAGCCTATGAAAACACGTCCTCATGAATTTTGCCCAAAATCTAAAGATCGCAAATCTCGTCGAAATTCCACCGTGAGCGCTTGTATGACACTCGCATTGCGGATATTGCGTTCGCTTCGCCCAAAAACTCCCACTGTATTGAATATGGTACTTGCATATGCTTCAGCTGCTCAGTTGAATATCAGAGCTATTTCAGTGGCTAGAACTCAAACTACTAAATCTAACACAATAAGATCCATTAAGGACGCGAAAGATTTTGATCAGCGTGTTGTACAAGCGCTCACGGTGGAATTTCGACGAGATTTGCGATCTTTAAATTTAGGGCAAAATAATGAGGACGTGTTTTCATAGGCTCGTAACTCGGTGATTTTTACAGACTGGAGCCTGATTCATGCACCATTCGGTAGCGCAGTTCCTAGTAACTTTGACTGAGAAAAGCAAGCAGGCAAGGTTGCTGACAGATACGCGAGAAGTGCGGGCCAATTTACGCGCTTTCGTGATGCAGTTACAGTCACCTCACCGTATCTCACCAAAAAGACCCTGTAATCCTCAAAGACCACGATTTTCGTAAAGAGCGTGTTTGAAAACCTCTATAAGCGAAGTTTCCTTACAATTCAAGAGCATGAACAGACCAAAATCCATCGGCCAGCTTCAGAGCGTAAAACGAGAAAAAATGAAATTACTTGAACATCTTGGAAAACTTGCACTTAAGGGTTATCCGACCTGCTGGTTACGAAAATCACATCTGCTTAGCAAGAGAGCTTCATATTTTAGAGTTACGTTGAGAAAAATTTAGAAGGACATGATTTTTCCAGAATTCACCAGCCCTTTGAAAAGGAGTGTGCGGCTACTTTCTAGCGCTCCATAATCTACAAAAGAAGTGCTATCGAAAATTTCTTTCTGAATGTACTGGGGGCAATACGCGCTGCTTCACACCTTTGCGAAGAGACGTCCGCAGAAAGTTTTGAGAAAACTGGAAACAAGATATAGATGACATGACGTATGTCGAAAGATTCGCCTTGACGAGATGAACACAGTGCTGCTTTCGAATTTAGAATATATTAATTCCGAAGGAAGTTATGGCGCTGCATAATTTGCGATAATCCGGAATCGCGAAATTTCTGGAATTTCGCGAAATTCCCGTTCTGTGAGTGGTATTGTACATTGCACAGCACGCGCGGCATTCCGCGATATGTGCTTCTCATGCGATTTCCAACCATTTCCCTTTGTCTTCCTGCATTTTGGGACCCGTCATACTTCGCCGAGAAAAGCCCACTTTCACACATATCCATGCAGAATGAGCTGCCCAGTTTCACATATATCCATGCAGAATGAGCTCTTAAACTATACCTGCCCTATTTCTGCTGTGCTCAATAGAATGTGTACGTAGCCTAAGGAATCAGCACACTGAATGGTCCATTTACACTAAAATTCCAGGAAAGAAACTTATATCCCACAACTAGGCACATCCGTATATTGGAAGATGCGCCTCGCCGAGCTGAGTTGAATGGTACTCTTATATATAGAATTCATAAATTTTGAATCAAGATAAGGTCTTTTTTTATAAAAAGTTAGGCGTTGCGCGACAAAGTTAGGTGACTTTTGCCGCTTTTCCGCCGACTTTTGTCGCGCGACGCGGCAAAAATCACCTAACTTCGGCGGCGCCGCGTAAGTTAAGTGCCGCCGCCATTTTTTTTCACAAATTACGGGTGGTATTGTATAACTGCGGTCCAGCTTCGATGAAGCTAAAGCTATATTACTGCTCGTAAATCTTTGACATATTCTGTAGGATTCGCACAACTGATTCGGATGAAGGTAGATTGTTAAATCATTCAATAATTCTATTTTTATCCTTTCAAAAACTCTCTTTGAGCAACACTTTATCCAAACAAGCTTAGCTCATCTTTTTCGTTCCGTTTCTCAGCGAAAACTGCAAAAAGAACATAATATTTAGCAAGATTGATGCGAAGAAAAAAGGAGTTGTTGGATTGGCTGAATTTCGTATTATTCAGAAATACAACGTCTAAGTAAAAAAGATCGTCGCGGTAATACCCAGCTACAAAGTTGCAATCAAATTACAGCTTTATAACATGGTACCGTAAATTACCCAGATTGTCTACATCGTAAACTACACGATCGGATCCAAGGCCATTACATGTATAGCTCCAATGACAATAAACCTGAGAAAAGTGCTGGTTTTCTGCAAAGTGGAAAAAGAAAATGAGAAAAATGCAAAGAAAATTTAAAGAAAGAATTTATTTGTAAAAAATTCATTCTCAACGGTTAACGGTTGTAGTAAAGCATGGAAAGGAATGCTGTTTATTTAGTGCCGAAGAACAAGTTGGTACCCTGATTGACTGTGTTTAGGCATAGGTTGATGATAAACAGTACAGTGACCTTGTGTGTCTGTACGTCCACTTATGCGCACTGTTGCGCATGGCAGTTCGAATCGGAACGTGTTCGCGGCCCCTTTGATGTGGAACTCGACATAATGGAGATCAGCATGGAATTACGAGCAGCTTACACCAGGCTTAGGCGCTCGCTTACAGCGTAGGCAGCGATGATCTGTAGTAGTTCGATGTGGTTTGTATCGTTTGCTAAAATGCTCCTAGACAATTTTGACAAAAAAATATCAGGTCATCGAAATTCTTTCCGCTTTGAACGCAGTTCTTCTCAAGATGCAGAGACCGGCTTTCAAATGTTGCGAATCCGCGCCTTGCCCTGAACATTAAGCACTATAGGCGGTCTCATTCGCTCATGAAGTTTCCGAGCAACATCCATGTTGTTTTT